CTTTTGTTTCATTCTTCCCCTAGAAAGTCTCCATGGGCTTCAACAGGCTATCATAACATGCATAGTTTTAGTGGTGACAGCATAAAACACGAGAAAACAAAATCTCACATGGAGGCATACAAACAGTGGAGGTTATTTGATTCGAGGGAGAGTGTTGATGTTTTGTTTTCGAGAGCTCGGCGAGAAGCAGTAGAGAGGCACAATGAGGAGGTAAGGCAAAACAGAGATGCTAAAAATATTGGGGAGGCAGTTTTATATCTTGCCAAACAGGAATTAGCATTTAGAGGACATGATGAGAGCAGGGCTAGTCTTAACCAGGGTAATTATAGAGAATTACTAAAATGCTTTGGAAAATTGGATTCTGTTTTTGACCGTCGTTTGCAAGGTAGACTGCAAGGTACAGAGAGAGTGGATGAAGGTGGAGTTTTTACTGGGGTTTCAGCTGATGTCCAAAATGATTTACTTGAGTGTATTGACTCAGTCATTCAGGATGAGATTGATGATGAAATGAAAGAGTATCAGTTTTTTAGCATTCAAGTTGATGAAACAACTGATGTTATAGCAAAAGCACAACTCAGTGCCATTATTCGACTAGATAAAGGGAGTGAAATTGTGGAAAGATTTTTAAAATTTAGAAATGTTAGTACCGACCGAAGTGCACAAGGTATTAGTGATATAGTTAAAGGCATCTTAGAGAGATATGGAGAGGCTGTAATACCTAAATTAGTGATGCAGACTTATGATGGGGCATCTGTGATGAGTGGTCATCTAAATGGTTTACAGGCAATTTTAAGACAGGTGTACCCCTATGCTTATTTTTTTCATTGTGCAGCACATAGGCTTAATTTGGTTTTATGTCAATCTGCTTTGAAAATTAAGGAGGTGAAAATATTTTTTGCTAATGTTTCTGCATTTTCCACCTTTACAAATTCCAGTCCTGAAAGAAAATCCCATTTGAAATCTCATGGGGTTGATATACCTGCTCCAGGGGAAACTAGGTGGTATTTCAAATCTCGAGCTGTGTCTGCTATTTTTAATAATTATGATACACTAGTGAAAGCCTTTACAGAGATAAGTGAAAATCCTTGGAAATGGACTGATGAAACAAGTACACGTACTGATGGCCTTCTCCACTACCTTGAATCATTTCTTTTTTGTTTCCTTTTACTACTTTACTACCAAATCTTGGAGAGATCAGCCATTTTATATGATATTCTACAAAATAGGTCTACTGATTATGCATTTGGCATGAGAAAAATTGAAGAATTTGGTAATTTTCTAATTTCCCTCCGCAATGAAACAGCTTTTGAAATTTGTTATTCTGCAACTGAAAGTAAAACTGGTCCTCCATCTCGAAAATCTGAGATAAATATAAATTTTAAACAGCTCTATTACGAAGTCATTGATTGTGTAACAAATATGCTTAAGGAAAGATTCACGGATGCAGAGAGCTTTTCATTTCTTGACTTAGTCAATCCTAAACTTTTTGTGCAGTGGAAAACAGCTATTCCTAATGAAAAAATTCAACAACTATCAGCAAAATATGGTCCTCTCTTTAATATACCTAGGCTTCGAAGTCAACTTTTTTTGTGTACCAAGATAAAGATTTTTTAAAAGATAACTCCATGGAATTATTGAAATACATTTATCATATTGGTATTCACCAGTGTATAGCCGAATTTGTTAAATTATTGAAACTTAACGCTGTTATTGCCATTTCTAGTGCTTCAGCTGAAAGATCGTTTTCATGTTTAAATAGGGTGAAACTTTTTTAAGGAACTCAATGGGGGATGAACGCCTTGGCTCATTATGCAGAATTTCAATTCATAAAGATATTTTAAAAGCAAAAGACGATCAAAAGCAATTACATCCAGCCATCCTGGATAAGTTTATTAAAAAACCTCGCAGACTAAATTTTTCATACAAATGAGTCTGCATGGCTCATTTTTCACTCTCTAATGCCGCTTTAAGCAAACCAAAAAGAAATCTTTGAAAATGTATGTTTTTGATAATTAGTTATTGCACTTGATACAACCATTTGTCTCCTCTGAAGCAGAATCACTAAACCAAATAAACTGCGCTTAAAAAATGTGCTCGATAAAGGTTAAACTTTTCTAGAAAAATTGTAAAATAGTTTTAAAGGGTTGGAAAAAGACCGGGATAAGATGAGAATTGAGCATTTTCATTCTTTAAAAAATGTCCCAGATGCTCTCCCATTTCTAACCAAATTCCTCTTTTCAACTGAGGTGTGAGGGCGAGAATCTGGCGCCTTAAAACCAGACTGCTCATTAAAAAGGTTCTAATGAGGGCTGTCTATGTTGGAATCCCATTTTTATACTTCCAGAGTCGATGTGTTGTGTGTTTCCTAGGCATGCTGATGAGCCCTGACATAGGGCGAAACAGTCCAAGACTGAAGGATATTTGAAAAATAAATTTAAACGGTTGTACGAGGCGTGACGTTCCATGTTATAGCTTCGTAAATAAAAATCAAAAAAAGCGTTTTCCGGGAGTTTAAGGCATTTAATTTTCAAAATTTTTGACGCTCGGCGCCAACCATGGTGGCGTCTCGTGGGCTGTGCACTAGCGTATGAGCATGACCTTGTTATCTCAACCAGCTTCGCCACTGAAAATATCAACCAATATTTCAAGATTTATTTGGTACAACTCGTGTAATGGTTAAAAAAATATTATTGTTAAGTAAAAGAAACTTGCCTATCGGGCGTAGGAAAAAGTGGAAACCGGTTTTACTTATAATCCATATATCGTAAGCGAAATATGTTGCATCCTCTACTTGTAGAATTTACATACTGGATACATATTGCGTATATCATAAGTATAACCTACGCTTTCCTACAATTGAAAAATTGCTTTGTTTCTTTAAAAATAAGTAATCCAATTTTCGCATGCGAGACAGCGAGATTGGGAACTTTTACATATGGCAATGCTTTTCATTATCTTCTGAGTGTCAAATTAACAACAAATCTAATTGTACACGAGTAATTTCTTCAATTGTTGACAGTTGGTAAGTATATAACTATGCACGATTACAGCAATAAAATACTTTGAAGTTTATATCCAAAACATGTATATCAGGACTGGTAAAACAAACACAAATATCCAAAGCACCGGTGACATATATGGTATATGTACGGTAAGCCCGTATCGGGCTTTTACGCCACGCTGATCACAGGACAAAAAAATCTTTATGACTGCAAATGAGAATACTTCGTCTTTCTTGTCTACCCGATCATACATACATGTACTTTGATGCGTAATTGTAATCCAATTCGAAGGTAAAAATTAGTCCTTCTTTATTAATTAAATAATGTATGTTGCCTCCTTAATCGATTTCATTGTTGTACTTTATGATATTGATGCGTATCTTTTAAAGGCTTCACGAAAAAGTGTACACAAATGCAAAGTAGTCAATAACATACGTTTATCTAGACCAATAGCTACTATTAATACATCCATTACAATCGTTACATAACCGTTCACATTATGCAAATCAAACACTGTTTACGTCGCTATAATTTAGGCTTGCGTTCACCAAGATTTAAATCTTCGATAAAATCAAACTAAACTCTACTTGCGACATTCACTCCTAAGCGACGGACAAAATACAAGTGCGACTTTGATTGAAAATATTTTTATTAAAATTTGAATGAATATATAATTAAATATCATTATATCACCGCTGTGATAATTTTGGAAGACTTTTTCTGTGCTTGGTTAAGAAAATAATCGAAGATAAAATTCGTACGTGCGAATTAATGTATTGGGATAAGAGACAGAGCTCTAATTTGCTTTTAAAGGAGCTGACCTCACTCCTATCGTAGAAATGACTCATCATAGTGAAGTACTAATACAAAATAGTGTAACGATACGATGCTTCGACTTTGAATATAATCTATTTCATTCTTTTCTATTCTATAAAGAATGTGACTGTTTCGCCCAATATCAGGGCTCATCAGCATGCCTAGGAACCACACCGCGATATGGTGGTGCAATTCCGACATGGACAGCCGCATTTTCTCGTGATATAATACGAGAAGTCTCTCAGCGCATTTTTAGCAGCCAGTTGCGTTGTCTGACATTTCTGCAGGAACGGCGCATTAAAGCAGCCAGTTGCGTTGTCTGACATTTCTGCAGCAACGGCACATTAAGCCCCGGTAGAACGAGCGCAACATTTTGATCCAACATCATCCAACTTTGTTGTCACAAAATGTTGGCCCCGTTTGACCACCCTTTTTTATAATGTTGCATGATGTTGGACAATGTTGCATGGAATTTGATTGTAGTCAAATTTTTATCCAACAAATTATGCTAATTTTGCATGTTGCGATCGTTTGACCTGGCGTTAGCAACAATGTTGGTCATACGCATGCGCAATATACGTTTAGCTTGATAATAAACATGGCGGACGAAATAGCAAACTTAAGTGACGAAGAAGTAATTGTAGAAGAATATAATACCAAAAAGAAAAAAGCAGTTAGAAAGTGGACCACGAATGAGACCAACACCTTGATTGACTTGTTCGAAGAAAGACCTTGTCTGTGGCACATATTTCAAAAGGACTACCACTGCCGAGATGTAAAGGAACTAGCTTACGAGGAAATGAAGAATATATTGGGGATTAGCGTGAAAGATATTAAAGCTAGACTTGTTTCACTAAGGGCGCAACTTGGCCGAGAAATCGCGAAAACAAACAAAACGAAATCTGGTCAAAGTTCGAGACAGAACTATTCATCGTCGTGGGCTTATTGGGACCGATTACAATTCCTTCGTCCGGTTATGAACGCTGGCAAAAGTAAAGACAACCTTTCAAAGCATTCATCTTCAAATATATCTCCTCGTCTTGATTCTGTTGATGATGAGATGGATACAGGATTGGATTCGGAGTCGGTTTCATCCAAATCATCACGTGGCAGTTATAAAACACCCACTAGGATGCGAGCTGAAGCAGAAGAAAGAAGAGACCTTATTAATACTTGCATTGACGTTTTAAAAGAGCCAATGCCTGCTTCAAATAGTGTTAGTCAGTGTCCATTTTCAATGTATGTGGCAGAGAAGTTATCAAAATTTCCACCAAGAACCAGAATAGTTGCTGAAAAACGCATCACAGATATAATTTTTTAGCTGGAAATAAATGAAATGAATAGTTCGACATCCCATCCAACACTTTTTTATTCAAATCATACAAATGCAAATCAAAACATTGGTCAGCAATTCACAGAAGAACGTCCGTATGAAATGCAGTTAAATCCACAAGTGACTACAGAAACTGAAATCCGCATTCCATTTTTAAGAAATGCTGTGCAATATTAAGGAAGCTTTCTATGTATAGCAAATAATAAGTTCCATGTTTAGTATTCTACTGCTGCTATTGTTGTAATTGAGGATGACAGAATGAGGTAGAAAAATTTTGTATTTTACTTAAAATAGATGTGTTATTTTTAAAAAAATAGACAGCTTGCAACATTTTCATCAACTTCATATCATGATTTCAATATTTCAAGATTTATTTGGTACAACTCGATATAGTTATCAATATTGCTACTCGATATATTTATCAATATTGCAAGGTTGCTAATCGCAGATTGCGATCCTCTAGCGCCTATCGACAATGTCAACACAAATTGTTACAAAAAAGAAATAAACACAAAGCACGCTCGGATACGAGTACTGTCATCACAAGCTACGACCGCACATTCTAGACTGGCATCTTTGGTTTCAAACCTTGACTTCATTCATCTAAAACATGTTTCTGATCGTGAGAACTCTAAAAAACTAAGCCATCAACAACGCACCCAAGACCGCAAGATATTTCGCCTTAGCACTGGACAGATTAACACAAACCCAATCAACCCTGAAGACGTGGTTTTCAATTTCTCAAATCGTTTCATCACCCAAAAAGAAAAAGAAATCCTTTCGAAGGGCCTCAACTTTGCTGTACCACCTGCCAAACTAAACTCGTGCACTTTCCGCACACCATTTGAGAAATTTTACAATCGCCTTCAACAAGAACCCGTCCACACACCCTCTGGCTTTTTCTCTGACTCAATTAAAGCTAAACTAAAGGACATAGCTTACTCGGGTTTTCGCAGTTACAGCCGACCGAATGCCTTATACACGGAGAATGAACTAAACGCGTTAAATGATCTGAGAAATGACAACAGCATTGTCATCCTGAAACCGGATAAAGGCAACGGAGTTGTTATTCTGAATAAAAACGACTACCACAAAAAGATGATGGAAATTCTAACGGACACATCGAAATTCGAACTTCTAAATGATGATGCCATCAAAATTACACTGAAACGCGAGAATCAAGTAAAGACGTTGCTGAGAAAACTAAAGGCAGAAAAATGCATAAATGAAAAAACATACAACGAACTTTATCCCACAGGTACACGTATCGGCATACTTTATGGACTCCCTAAAATTCATAAATCCTCCATACCTCTAAGACCAATCTTATCTAGTATTGACCACTACTCCTACAAGCTAGCCAAATTCTTTATTCCTCTCCTTACACCAATCTCCGCCAACTCCCATGTTATCAAGGACTCTTTCTCTTTTGTCCAAGATCTTTTACAAAGTGACATTAACGCCAATAACGTTGTGATGGCGAGCTTTGATGTTAAATCATTGTTCACCAACATCCCAGTGGATGAAACAATCGCCATAATAACTAATCACATCTTCTCCAGTAACACGTCCTTTCAAGGCCTTGACAGTTCACAATTCACTCAACTTCTCTCCCTCTCCGTCAAAAACTGTCATTTCTTCTTTAACGGCCAAGTTTATCAACAGATTGATGGTGTGGCTATGGGCAGCCCCCTAGGCCCACTATTTGCGAACATATTTATGGCCTTCACTGAAAATTCATGGCTTCACAACTGTCCCTCCACCTTCAAACCCCTTCTTTACCAACGTTACGTTGATGATTGCTTTCTACTCTTCCGATCATTGGATCACATACCTCTTTTCCTTACCTATCTCAACCACCAACATCCTAACATCTCCTTTACATCTGAACTGGAAAAAGACAACACGCTCCCCTTTCTTGACGTAAAAATAACTCGCTCAAACGGCAAGTTTTCCACCTCCGTGTATCGTAAACCCACTTTCACTGGTCTCTTCACCAATTTCCATAGTTTCATTCCCATTCAATACAAACGCTCCTTGATCTCCTCTTTACTTCACAGAATTTTCAACCTCTGCTCCAGCTATGAACACTTTCATACCGAACTAGAAGTCGTTAGAAAAATGTTCACCTTAAACAACTTCCCTTCATACATATTTGACAATCATGTTCACCGCTTCCTCAACAATACATTTGAACCCAAAGATCTTATTCACATTGCTCCTAAGAAAATCATGTACTTCTGTCTCCCTTTCACTGGCCTACACTGTCTTCAGATTCGCACTCTAATCACTCGACTCTGCAATGCTGCCTTTCCTCATATCAACGTTCGCTTTGTTTTTCGTTCATCCAGGCGTCTCTCCTCTTTCTTTCCTTTTAAGGATAGGGTTCCCAAGCTCCTGAGATCTGGTGTTGTATACTCATTTAAGTGTCGATGCTGCTCTGCATCGTATGTGGGTCAAACCACGCGTCATTTACACACCAGAATATCAGAACACTTGGAATCTCTCCTTAACAGGAAGCCTTCCTTATGTCCACCACCATCTGCAGTTCTTTCTCATATAAGAAATACATCTCACCTTGCCGATTTTAATGATTTCTCAATTCTCTCTTCCTCCTCCGACAATTATGACCTTATGATTCATGAAAGCCTTCTTATATCCAAACTTAAACCCTCTCTTAACACCCAAGGCAACTCAATCCCCCTTCACCTTCTTTAATATACCGCCATTCTCACTTATTCCGTCATCTAAACTTCCTACTCCTCTCACATGTAATTTAACACCCCATATTACATGCTTGTATTTAAAACCTCGTGTATAGATATTAATTCAATTAATCTGAAGATGTCTTAAGTTAAAGACGAAACGTAATTAATAAATCCTTCTCTATTTGATTATTGTGATGGCTTTTTTAAAAGTATTATGTTGGGCTATTATGTTCATATTGAAAACTTCATATCACCTTTGTATAGTGACTAAAATTTACTTAGTTTTGTTTTGCAAAATTGCATGAAATTGAGTTTGTTGATGAATTATCAATGTAATGGCTATTCAATATTTTAGTAAATAGTAACTAGCATCTTTCCCATTGCCATTCTATAGCACCATGAGTGCAAAAATATTCCATAAATGCATTCATAATTGATTTTGCAAGATTTGAAGAGTTATGACCAGATGATGATACACTGAGTGATGTAAGTATAGCTGAATTGTCTTGTCGCCATTGACCAGGAATGAGGTTACCACTTGAATCTTCAGCATCACATAAACCAGGTGGACAATAATCATTTCTGGAGGCACCTTTTCTCAAGAAATTATGAAGTACAAATGCAGCTTTGATTAAGGATTCCACAGTTTCTGGTGGTAGCTGAAGTGTTGTCCTCAAAAATCTCCATCTGTTAACTACAATTCCAAAGGGGTTTTCAGATATGCGCCTAGCTCTACTATGTCGATAATTATACACTCTCTTTTCTTTGGAAAGACCTTGTTGGGGGTATGGTTTCATAAAGTACGGTTTCAGAGCAAATGCATCATCACCCACCAAAACAAAAGGTAAACACTCTGAACATCCGGCAAGATATTCAGGACTTGGTAAGGATAATTTATTGTCCTCAATAGCCAATGCCAATCCACATTTATTCCATATTCCGCCATCGGATACACGACCATTTGTGCCAATGTCTGCATACAAACACTCATAATCAGGTCCTGCTACAGCAAGGACAACTATAGAATGAGTGTGCTTGTAATTGTAGAAGTAGGAGCCTGAATTTGGTGGTTGTTGTACAACTACATGTTTGCCATCAATGGCTCCAAGGCAATGAGGGTACTGCCACTTCTCATTAAATTTTTTGGCAATATGCAACCATTCTCGCTTTTTGGATGGCACTTTCATATAATCTGGTTGAACATGATCGTTTATAGCATCACAAACATTTTTTACAATATTTGAAATTGCAGATCTTGATACTCGAAACTGAAAACTTAATGATCTATATGATTCCCCAGTGGCCAAAAAACGTATGGTCAATGTTAATCTTTCTGCAGCTGTGATTACTTTGTGACCACCAGAGACCTGACACGGCGTAATGTCTTTTTCAATATATCGTAATAACGTCTGAAAGTCGTCATAGCTCATTCGCATCATTTCTTTATATCCTGCGGTATCCTCCATTCTTAATTCCTTAACAATGTTGGTAAAATAGCCCTTTTCTTTTCTTTTCTTCATCCATGGTCTTGTTTTTCCTCTTGTCCAACTTCTTTTGTTTTCCTCTAGAAGTTCTACTACACATAAGGCAGCTGCACAACGACGAATTTTGTGATATTGATGAATTTCAAAATTAGTGGCCGCCATATTTATTCGAATTGCGTAATGTTTAATCATCAATGATATAAAATGTTGTTTTCGTTTGACCAGTAGGGCACAACATCTTCAAACATCTTCCAACAAAGTTGGATGGTGTTAGTTGAAAATGTTGCGCTCGTTTGACCAGGGCTTTAGAGCAGCCAGTTGCGTTGTCTGACATTTCTGCAGGAACGGCGCATTAAAGCAGCCAGTTGCGTTGTCTGACATTTCTGCAGCAACGGCGCATTAAAGCAGCCAGTTGCGTTGTCTGACATTTCTGCAGGAACGGCGCATTAAAGCAGCCAGTTGCGTTGTCTTACATTTCTACAGCAACGGCGCATTAGAGCAGACAGTTGCGTTGTCTGACATTTCTGCAGGAACGGCGCATTAAAGCAGCCAGTTGCGTTGTCTGACATTTCTGCAGCAACGGCGCATTAAAGCAGCCAGTTGCGTTGTCTGACATTTCTGCAGCAACGGCACATTAGAGCAGCCAGTTGCGTTGTCTGACATTTCTGCAGGAACGGCGCATTAGTGCAGCCAGTTGCGTTGTCTGACATTTCTGCAGGAACGGCGCATTAGAACAGCCAGTTGCGTTGTCTGACGTTTCTGCAGGAATGGCACATTAGAGCAGCCAGTTGCGTTGTCTGATATTTCTCAAGGAACGGCGCATTAGAGCAGCCAGTTGCGTTGTCTGACATTTCTGCAGCAACGGCGCTTTAGAGCAGCCAGTTGCGCATCAACGATGAATTTATCGGTATATACAAGACATGCAGTTAGTTTCTTTATTAATTGATTTTTCATAAAGCGGTAACAATACATGTATTTGTGAGATGTGTTTGCTCGTCGTTGAAAAGAACATAACTAACGTATTCACCACAATTATGATATTCCAATGTGAAGCTATAAGTTTGATTTAAAGAAACAATCTTATCATTATGTTTCCATTAGAAATGTCTAGTTATTTCCCCATTACAAAAACATTTAAGAGTTACGAGACGACCGACATTCTGCTTGTAAGACGTTGGTATTTGACAACATCTAACGTCACGAGGAAATATTGTTTTTGAAATGAAAAGAAGCTCATTAATGTACAGCTCATTAGCAATTATTGGTCGCAATGCGTTTACCATAAAAATATTTGGACTATGGTCATATAAGCCCATTCTATAACGAGCATAAGCCAGGACAAAAACACCACAGCTAATGGAATCATTCTGCGCTGGAAATTTGTCTTCCTAATGCGCCGAGAATTCCGACACGAAATTTTTGTTTGCTATTTCGATACATTGACCTCTCATTCGGTAAAGTTCTTTGAAGTAAAATTTTATATTATCTACCAATGTTAGATATTGACTGCCTCTTGCTATGGGGTCGTACAAATAAATGCAACATTCAACAGTGTTGATTATTGCCATACACCAGTGACTATCTTGTCCAACATTTATAGGAATTGCAATCACGTCGTAAAGATGAAACAAAACACCTCGGTAGTGCCTCCTTAACATTTCATGAAAGCGCTCTTTATTGTTCGGCTGGCGTACGGATCGAAGTTTTGTCATGAATTGTGTCGAGAATGCAAAACTATGCAATCCAAACTTTTCCGTATTTTTTGTTAGCAATAGAAGGTAACAATTTATAACCTCATCATTGAGCCATCCAGGGTTGGAAAGAACATATGTATCGTTTGAAAAACCCTTTTCCAAAGGTTCAAGAGTTTTGATATCTTTTCCCAGAAGATTGTATCCGTGTGTTTTAAATGAAGCAACACGTTCATTTCTTACATTGAGATCACAAAGTGAGTGAAATACCTTGCACATTTTCTTATATTTTTGTGCAATTGACGGAGGCAAACTATCGACCTTTGATTGGACATCTCTACTATTCGTTTGTGCGGTTGGCGCACTTGTGCTATGAACAGAGCCCACAAAATTTGGTGAGCTTGTACTTCGGGGTATGTCCTCATTGTCACTATCATCGCTGAGTTGGGTTGACGACTGTCGTTCGTCTCCATAACCTTTGTCACTAAAATTTTCAGCGGAGTAAAAGGCTATGTACACATAAGTTGACACCTTTTGCTTCCACTTTTGTGATATATCAGAGACGAATGTATCGTCGACCTCATAAACTCTTCCATCTTTGAATATTACAGCTGTGTAATGGCCAACATCAATACCTGAGCCGTAATGCAATGCACATGAGGATAATTGATAAGTGGCCGATGCACCATCATTCTGCAATGTTAATTTTAATGGTAGTGGAACTCTCTGACAACTCTTCGTAATCCCTGATCCATTTGAAACAAATCTTTTGAAACCAAGGCATAAAATTTTAGGCAGTGTTTTGGGTTCACCTATGCGAACGTGACTCGTCTTCACACTGCATGTGCTACAGTCTGTAAATACAGAATCGATTAAACTCTCTTCGATTTTTTCTGTTAAGGTTTTGTTTGCATTGTCAACGGAAACAAAAAGCGTCGTGAAAATTTCCTCATCATGCAACCGAGTTTTTCCACATAAATCACAAATTTTTTTATATTTGTACATTCCTCTAAAGGAGCCTGCGTCACAATGTTCATGCAAAACTATAAAACTCACGTGAATATCATGTTGTTGGCCACTCGCATAACCAAAATACTTATTAAAAATGTCGTGCAGCTGTTGTGGATACAAAGGTTTGTCATTCGTGTTTTTTAATATTCGCAAGATTTTATTCAGTACTTTCGCTACAGTTGGATAACATTTTGTCGTTGTTTCGGGGTATTCAACTTTTAATGCATGCAAACATTGTAGAAGACTGTTCAACCAGCAATCGTTACCCTTATTGATTAAACCTATTGTTATTTCTTTTCTTAGCAAAGACACGTGCATCTTGTGCGACGCACCAATGGATTTGCTGGATTTTGTACGCTCGCTGTCTTTACTTTGTTTGTTTTTCTTTAACATACTTGTATCCTTGAAGCGGAACTATCTAGCCATAATTTAGCTGCCTCTTTCGTTAAAAACGCGTTAGGGCGATTTTTAGAAGCTCTCTTTTTCTTACTACCTTTATGAAAAAAATTTAAGAATGATGACGGTGGACGTCTACTCTGTGTACATTTATTGATTTCTGGAGTTTGCTTAACGGAATTGCCGGTGACTGCTGGAATTGTCCAACTTTAGCATTAGTTTTGGTGTTGATGGAGTCTTTTTCCCCCATGTTTCACTGACTTGCAAATAATCATCAACTTCATCATCTGAAGTGTCATCTGAAGTGTCATCTGAACTTACGATAGTATTGCTTTCGCTTCCTTTGGTATTTTCTTTTATATCGATTTCTTGTGCAGATGTTTTGTCCAATGTTTGCGTCTGAAAATTTTTCGAAGAATTTATTGGACGTCTTTGTTTTCTGGTAGGTTTATTAGCAGTTATTCTATCCGAGAAATCTGTCATTCGTCGCCTAATTCTGTCATAATTTTCCAAAACAAATGCATCAGGACGCAGTCTTCTTTTGTTTGGAAAATCTTCTTGTTTTAAGTTTCGCATGACACCTTCCACATAGCATCTGTTTTTGAGTTTTGTGATTTAAATGAAAGGTGCGGATAGTCGTATAATGTTTCGTAAACTGGATCGTTGTCTTCTATGTATCGGTCTAATGAACCTAAAAGTACACCAAACTACAACGGCATCTCACAAAGATAAGATTCTATGAATGCAAAAAATTCTGGTGCGTAGCATCTATTACTTGGCTTGCTATGTTTTGCATCTTCCATCGCTCTTTCTTTGACATTTCGTAGCAAGCTATCGTAATAATTTTTGAATGGATTTTGACTTGTATTTCTGTCTGTTTCAGAAAGATCGACATCATCATCGCCTGCATTTGAAAAGACTCCATGCGCTTCAACATGTTCAAGGATTTGTTCTCGTTCCTCCATTGCATGGATCAATTTCCATAAGGTGCTGAACGCGTTTTGGACTTCATCATTTTGAGTCTTATGAAGCAAGCAAATTGCAACAGGTAGAAGAATATAATCAAATTCTTCTTGGGTTCTAGAGTTTACCAACAGCGACACACAATACATGTTAAAGCGATACCACACCTCGTTTGTCGTACTGACTTTGATACGCATAATTGATTTCAAACGCCTATGGATTATGTTCATGAAATGACTGCAGCCAACATGTAAAACCATAAATGCAAAATCGTCGTTGGATGCCATCCTCTGCACAATCCTGAATGCTCGAAATAAAAACTGAGCAAGGGGTTTCTCCGTTGAACTCTTTCAGAGCAGCCAATATCAACGCCTTTGAGTAATCTGTATTTAACTGACGAGGTATTCGAACGTTTCTTTTGAAAACGTTTGCCTCATCTCGACGAAACCTCTCAATAAAGGAACGTATGCTGGGAGCACTGTGATCATTCGTTATCATTTTGGCAATTGGCACTTATCGATTTCCTTTCTTTGGGTGTCGAACAATAATTGCATAATAAAGTACTCTTTTGCCCATAAAATCTTGCACAATCGTTCCGGTTGCGTCCATGTATGCAATATCTTTCATGCATAAGTAATGCCAAAATCGTACCTGATCTTCATTCCACATATATACCCAAAGTGGACAAAATGAAATTGCTTGAACAAATCCTTCAATCTGTTTGAGAGGCATCTCGCGCTGTTTTTCTCGCTGAATTAAATCATCCATAGCCATCTTCAAGGAAGTCATGACGTCTTTGTCCAGCTGAGTTTGTTGTCTTCCTTCACTGGCTATTTTTCTTCACTGGCTTTTCCGTGGTAGGTCTGATCCTTGACCACTCTGCTTCACTCAAAAAAAATGTTGCAGACCTACAAACATCGGCTATAAAGAATGTATTTGGTCGTGGCAAATATGGGCAGTCCATCTTTCTTTGGGGTAATATTAGCATATGTTTTGCCAACGTTCTTTTCCTTGGAAGACATCTCATACGATTCAACATAGCTGAGTGGTGAAGATGTTGCATTAGCACAGACATTATCCATAGTATCTTCATCTTCTGATATTTTTATCGGCTCCCATCCCTCGCTAGAATCACTTTCACAAGTAGAAGGTCTTTTATCAACATTGTCAAGTTTTGCAAAAAATGTTAAGGGAGATGATACTTTTTTATCATTACAATCGCGCTATTGCTTGAGAAGTCAGTCAGTTATGCTTTTTCCTCCTCCTTAGAATCATAGGAATGACATTTTTGAAATTCGTCAGAGTGATAAATGACTTTCTCAATCGACGGACTACTTTCCATGCTGTAACATACACGATCTGAAGTACATATGTCTTCATCTTTTTCATAAATGCACGGTGAAGAAGAATATAAGAGTACATTATATTCAGTGTTATCGACCACGTCTTCAATTTCTCCATGTGACTCCAGGACACCCTCGTCGTGAATATCATTTGTGCCAAAAACGTGCATTGGATCATTGTCATCAGTTTCTTTGTTTGAAAGTGACAGCAGTTCTTGTGGACGGTATTCATTGCGGGATTTTTTGCTAGCACAAATAGGACAGATATAAGATTTGCCGTCTATACAATTACTGTATTTTTTGAGTTGTTTCTTTGTTTTAAGATGAGGTAAACCAACGCATTCTGGATGATAAAACTCCAGACAACCTTCTTTCTTTTCATCGCACAAAATATAGCTTCCAACATCTTCTTTTGACAGAGACACCATAGTTTTTGGTTGTTCCTTTCTGGAGTATGGACTTTCGGTATGCATCTTCTACGTTTTATGCATTTGTTTTCTTTATTGGATTGTGCTAAGGTTTTGACCACATTGTTGGTGTGTCTGCTTGAAACTTCTTTTTTTGAATCTTGTTTAATAGAAGATGCATCTCCATGTTCACTTTCTTTATTGTAATGAATATGTTCAGTGAAATGCTTCTGGGTAGTGACCATGTCGAATTCCTCGCTAGCCTCATCACTGTCCGTCGCTGATTGGCCAAAATCATAATGTTCGTTTCCTGTGCATTCGCCACTATGAGTGTTAAATGGTCGGGACTATAAAAATGGCAAACACTCGCGACCCGACGACGGGTGATGTGCATCATCATTATAATTATTGTCATGGCTATCTAACATATCTTCAGCATTTGATAACTAAAAAAATGCAAACAAGTGTATTATATTAAATTGAGTGCATCAAAGGAAACATTGATTTAATTTGAAGTATGGTCTGGATTAGAACAAAGCAAATAGTACCATCATTATTACGTGCTGTAATAAACTATTTCAAAATATTAATTATTAAATATGCTTAAAATAAAAAAAGGCGATATTGATGATTACAACAATATTGAAATATTTACAATTCAACCATTACGTTATGTCTAAAGATCTAAAAAATCAAGACATTTATATAAAAATTTATATTTGAGAACGTAGAATGGGTAGAATATTCTCTAAACACATGAGCAACCGATTTTAACTTGCATGAACCTTATATTTGTACACTCAAGTTTCACCTGCCACCGCCACCCCTCTCCTCACATTACAGCAAGGAAATGCAACATCTATTCGACGTAAATATTCTCTTTTATTTTAAAGGAGAAAAGTGAAGTACAAAAGATCGTGCACCGAAAACAATTTTTGCTGTGAATACTTTATCCTCAAAAACTCTTTTAAAACTATTTTCTGACACGTACATATTCCACTCAACCGATAATTCAACACTTGTAGCTTTTGTGTTTTACATAAATAGGTTAGCGATATTTTCGACGATGTAACTTTTATTTCGTCTTTAAGTGAGGATTAACGCTTCATATAATGCAACTATATATCGATGAATTATACAAGGTCTTTGTTGTATTGATAACATCACGAAGTACAAAATGCTATAAATTTTCGATCGCAATGCACTGAGCGAGCGACGTATCAAATACAGCAAAAATAAAACAATCTTAATAACTCAAATGACAAATTGCATTTTAATTTAAGTTCGCAGAAAAATTTTTGGCCTTACTTTCGCTTTGAATAATTCTCAAGCACAAACATCGGTTATTTATCGGCGCATGCGCAGAAGATATCACAAATATTCAAACGGTCATTACGTTTTGAAAAATAATTAATTCGTAATCTTTACACAAACAACCAATCAGAAAGTTAAAGATAATTTTCAAACTGCAGAAATTTCATAAACCGTTTACTGTCAAACGATTGATCAATACATGAAATTAAATATCCTTTGCGTGCCTCTAATCGCTCATGCTCGATTGCAGATCGCATGCCATTCCGGTTATCGTGCCAGCGAAGATATATTAGTTTTTCCGTGCAAAAAATTTGTTTCTAATCCCAAGTTCAACTAGAATTTCACCCCAGAAGCTATTTGACTCTCTGTAAGAGTCGTTTTGGTCGCCAGACACATTTGGCATAGCTGCAACATTGCATTCGCGTCAAACGTGTATTTCGATCGACGACCAGCAGTGCGCTGAAAAGCACAAACAAATGCAGTGAATGATAAAAGACATGAACGACCGTAAGAAGAGAAGAAGAGTACCTTCATCATTTAACGTTACACGAAAACGAGAAGAGCACAAAAGATTTAAATATAATCCTGAATTAACTTTTCTCGCAAAAGTAATAATTGCTTCGATAATACAGGAAAACCGTTGACATCAACGATTCAACGGTTAGTCAAGAAAGACGCAAACACAGGATACGACAAAGGTTTTAAACCGTGAAATTCTTAAAATGACGTTGCATAAATTAGCATAAACTCAACAATTCGACGAAATAAATAAGACACATATGTTCTAATTAAATTGCAACAAATTAATTAGCACAAAAGTGTTGTTCTTTTCATAAGCCGTAGATTCTCTCCTCGAACTTGTGCCACGATAATCAGGACATCTTTCCAATCTTCAGAATCACATCTTTAAAATGGTACCCAATGAAAAATGATTGCAGCGTGTTTACCACTACTTCAAAATTAGACATAATTACATCTCATTTAAATAATGCACAAATTAATTAAACCAAAAAAGCAAACTATTTTATAAGCTGTAAATTCGCTCCACGAATTTGGGCCGGAATAATAAAACCATATTTGTAATCCTCAGAACAAGATCTTTAAGACGATA